CAACTTTCCTAGCACTAAGTCCTTCACTATAGAGCTAGGTTTTCACATACAATGAAGTGTCTGAAATAGGATAAAATGAACCTGGACATTTGTGTCCTGAAGGAGTACTCTGGGTGGATTTGTTCAGTGACCCATTTATCTATTTTCTTGGCTGTCCGTGGTATTTTCAAAAGTTTTCTCCAACACTAAAGTTCAAAAGCATCAATAGTCTTTCTATCCTGTTTCTTTAAAGTTCAACTTTCACTGCCACAGAGTATCACAAGGAATATAATGGTTTGCATGGCTCTGATTTTTGTAGGTATAGACATATCATGGCATCTTTTCTGAGGTCTAGTCTACTATATATATTTAATTGCTTATTTCTTTAATGCTGACAGTTGATCCTAAAAAGCAGAAGCTGTCAAACACTTAGCATATTTTGCATATTTCAAAATGCAGTACTTTTCTCTACTATCAGGCTGTACAATCAACTTTTTAGTGTGGAATCTTTCTTAGTGACTAGACTCAGAAAGCATTTTTTACTGTAAGTAAAACCCACTGAAGTATGAAACTCTCCATTTTTCCCAAGCTCGATAGAAAATCTAAGCTAGGAAAAAAATAGTTTCTATTCCAAGCAATGTCAGTATTGAACAATACACTTCCTTTTAAATGATGTGTTTTATAAAGATGGGGAAAATTTTAAAAAGAAATGGGAAAGAATGTGCAAAATTATTCTCAAATTCACAAGAGAACAGAGGTAATGGTTTTATCATGAAAATGGTTGCAATAAATATTTACTCTCTAGCCAAATTTGGTTTGGGGCATGGTATATGTCTTCATTCTGCTCAAAAGTGATTCCTCATTGATTACTTAGGCGACTCCTGGCATAAACAATAATGCACCATTTATTTAAATAATTAAAAGTGAGAAGCATATAACAATGCAAACCCCAACTCATATGTGTTAGCTTCCACTCTAAGGTATAAGTACAAAGAGATTGGGTTTGCATTATGATATTATATTGCATTTTACCAAGAAACAGCCCAGAATACGGGTAGAAATATAGTTGTAAAATGCATGTTGGAGCCTTCCTTGTAAAACCAAAAATCTCAGATGACTTAATTCATAGGTAAAAAATTTCAGTCCTACAGTTTTGCCCAAGGAATGTTGATTTTCATTAAAAATGAAAAAGGAAGAAACTCTCATGGAGCCAAAGCTTTTTGAAATGAATGGGAAAGAAAATAATTACATGAGGATCCAAGTTGCCTGGAGAACTTTTAGAAAGAAAAAGTAGAACATTAATATTTTAAATTTTAAAGGAATAAACACAACCATGTATTATGAATGACTACTATCTATGCTAGTTTATTGTTCAGCGTATTGGTCACATTACTAATTAATAAAATGTAAAAAAAAAATCTGCCAGAAAATAATTATGTGTCCAAATTGGGACTCAATCCAGTATCTAATTTCTACAAAGTATATATTGGTTTTTGGTGGGGGCGGGGAGAGGAAAAGCTCATTATACAACTAGCATTGTTTTTTTTTATAAAATACAAAACATTGCCCCAGAGAACAAAATCAATGGGGAATCAAGGAATTAGTACATTGTTTTTAATTTCTGCTTAAAATTAAATTAAACATCAATTTGTCAGTCCCTTTTTCGGCAAAATGCTTCAAAAAAACAAAAACAAACAAAGAGTGGGTTTGAGACATTTTTCAAGGACTAGTGGGAAGCTGTCACACATAATTAAGTTGTCACAACATGATTCTTCTTAACAATATTTATGTTCCCCCCCCCCCCCCCAAAAAAAAAATATATATCTGACAATGTTGGGGAAAATTGAAAATGATCTGATAAGATCATGACAATGCCCATGCATTATTTACATGATGTTATGTAATACCAATATATGTTAAACTTATGTTGCAACCACATAGAACAATAATCATTATTCTATCAATATCATATTTAAAAACAAATATATACCTGCCTATGTAAATAAAGTTAATATTGTAGAATCTTCCTTGATAAGTGTAGTCTATATTGAACCAGATTTTGCCTCGAGCCCACTTTTTAGGCTGATAATCTTAAAGAAGATAAATGCTTCTAGTTAGAGGCATTCTTAGCACAAGTCAATGAGTCAAGACTCACCCTTTTTAATGGGTATCATAGTTATATATCAAGCTATGTGATAAATAGGGCTTTGATTGTATCCTCGTTTTTTTAAAAATTGGGAAATTTATGGGGCTAAATGGGAAGCTTATGTTCTGCAGATACCTAAAGTACAGTTTTAAGTAGTTCTTAAAACTACTCTCATCAGGAATCTTTGGGTTCAAAGCCCATCCACACTTGGTATGAAACCTTGAACATGTCACATGGAGCCTAATGTGGCCCTTATCCAGCCAGATAGCCGAAGTGGCATAACTATTTATGCAAGTATGTATGTATGTACTGTATATATGTATTTATTAAATTGTCTGCCCATCTTGTCACATGGTAACCCTGGGTGGTTTACAATATTAAAAGATAAAACTCTATGATTTATAATAATATATGTACAATGCTATAAAGTCAACCCAGCAAAAAAGATCAGGGAGACATATTCCAGAGGGCAGGTGCAATAGCAGAGAAGATTCTTCTTCTGGAACCCACTAGCCTGAACACCCTGACTGATGGGGCCCATAACATGCTTTCTACCATCTGCTAGTGTTATTCCAATCCTGATCAAATAATAAATCCAAAACTTTCTTTGTTTCATGTTCCATTCTTAATAACTGCATGGTTCATTTTGTTTTCTTGTCACAATATAATAACAGTTTGCTGTTACTTTCCTTCAGGATGTTTTTCAACTTTCCCATTTTATCCACAGCCCTGGAACATTTGACAATCTCCAAATCAATGAAATCAGTGAAATCAATCAATGTGATCAAGCTTTTCCAAGGTACAAGCTTGTCTAAAACTTGCTGTGATAGACTTCTGAACATTTTAGTCTAGGCTTGTGTGTATGCAACAACCTTTAACAGTGCACTTTAAAAGATATAATGTTGCAGCCATGTGCAATTATAGACATTGCTGCATATTAAATCACCTTTGTGGCAATTCAAGTTCGAATGTAGAGATGCTTGAGCGTGACTATGCTCATGTGCTTTGAACTTAGTTTTATATTGTCCTCTAGGTCTTTGGCTGAAGTCTTCACTTTGTATTAAGTATGGCGTAAGATAAAAACATGACTATTTTACAGAGTAGGTAATCTTCAGTTCAGGGGGAACTAAAAAAGTTTGATACCTCACACAAAGCAAACAACCACTTAAAGAGCCTGCTTTAGACATGAACATAGCAATGGAAGGGAGAAAGTAAAAATCAAGTCTATTTCCTCCCTCCCTCCCTTTCTTTTCTTCAATTTTATATAATTTGCAGTCTGGACCTAAAACATTAGAATGAATGTGAAAGTGTGCTTAAGAAGAGTGTCAAAGGTCACACAAATAAGGTGTCTCTAAATGTTTACTCTCCTTTGGCTGAGCCACTGACCATCCTACATTCAACTGGGAGACCTACATGCAATTTCTTGAATGCACACAAACTATATTTGAACAAGAGATTTAAGATTGCTCTACTCACATACAGCAGTCATCTTAGATTAAATTGCAATCATTCTAAAAAGAAGGGCAATGGAGACCAGGGGAGGCTCTGACCCAATAATGTGATTGTATTGGACATACCTACTGATATTTACCAGGCTTGAGTCATATTTTCAAGTAGAGCTTGAATCTAGAATATGAAATGTTCAATTCCAAATTGCCTGAATGGCTTTTTTAACAGGAAGAAAGGGTTTCTTCTAGTTAAAGATCCATATATAAGATCCCATATAAGATGGGATCAAACAGCAACACAGTATGTGGGTGAAATCTATGAGAAAAGCATTCTTCGGTGTTTGGTGGGAGTTTTAAAGTGAAAAAAATTATATATGTCATCTATGTATCATCTATACATCTATATATGTGCTATGGATAGATAGATGATGAATAGAAAGATAGATGATAGATAGATAGATAGATAGATAGATAGATAGATAGATAGATAGAT